TTTTGTTGTTTGTGGGGAGAAGTGAGGGGGGGGGGGGGGGGGGGGGCCGACTGACAAGGTTCGAATGTGAAAAGAACCAGACTAAGCCATGCCGTCGACTCATGCCCCAACCATTCGAAAGATTGTCTTCGTCCAGCTGTGGTCAATCATGATACCCCTTGTATCACAGCGTCGACCGACGCTTTGACATCAGGGGGACTAACGCTGACCAGGTGGTTGCATTTGCCCTACTAGTGCTCGTGTAAGCACATATGTAGGTATTCCAGTGCTTGGTAGAAGTTGTCGCACAGCATAACATCTTGGGGTGGAGCCGAGCACCCCTTTTATCCTCTCATTTGTAGCTTAATCAAGGCTTTGTATTAATGATGCAGAGATTTGTACGGAGCATCATCTAATGTTCAGGTGCCCGGCTTACGTGTGACGGAAGTACAGTCGGTCCCAGTAATTCCGAAAAAAAAAAAAAAATCCACCTAAAAAATAAACTTATACTCTTTAAAAATTTATATTAAATAATATATAAAAGTAAAATAAATATTAAAGTTATTATTTAATAATTTAATACTTAAATATTATTTATATATAGTTTTAATATTTTATATTATTTTATTTAAAGTAAAATATTTAGAATTATAAGCTTTTAAAAAGTATAAGTTTTAGTGTAAAAGTGGGCGTTTTTCGGAATTACTGCGAACCCACTGTATTTGCCCACGTCGTCGTACTAGCACTTGAGGCTAGCCTAATTAGGGTCAATATCCCAGCTCGTGCCAACTCCATGAACCCTTACCTCTTTACCCCCAGGAGCCATTATGCCTACATACAAGGTCCTTGCTTGGAACCTGAGCGTGGTCAAATACCTAGGTACTTATCGCCCGTGACTGTACACCCTAACCAGCATCACATGATTGACGCACGTGACAGCAATGCTCAAAGTGGATCGAGAACAAAAATGGAGAACGTGTAAAGTAAGGGGATTTGATCACTTCAATTCAATATGGCAACTGTAGGTCTACATTTCCTCATACCCAGCCCGGGACGTCTTGGCTTGGAAAGCGCTATTTCTCACTGTTGTTGTAGCATGGTGTAGCTCGGGTCTCTCGGCCGCGTAGTCAAGAGCAACGACGGCAAGACCTGTCCAAGATCCAGGTGTACCGGGATCTCGAAGCACAAATACGCACCTGTGTTGCATCGGAAATCTACGACTCTCGGCTCTTCCAGCTCACCACAGACATCCTCCATCTAAACCCCGAGTACTACACGGTATGGAATATCCGTCGCCGTTGCCTACTCTCCAGCCTACTGTCTCAAGGAGTCGACCCATTCCTATCTGATGCGCCGGTGAAGCTGCCTGATGCTTGCCAGAGTAATAACCAAGATCCAGACAAATCTGTACTAGAATTTGAGCTCACCTTTCTCATACCGCTTCTTAAGCGGGCACCCAAGTGCTATTGGATCTGGGAATACCGGCGGTGGATTCTAACGCAAACGAACCTTCGGCTGTCTATTCCGGCCGCACGCCAAATCTGGGAACTAGAGCTCAGTCTTACATCTAGCCTCCTTGGCAGGGATCGTCGCAATTTCCACGCTTGGGGCTACAGGAGGTTCGTCGTAGCTCAGCTTGAAAGCGACGAGCTAGGTGGGAAGAGTTTAGCTGAAGACGAATTCGCGTACACCGATAAGATGATTCGTGGCGACCTGTCAAATTTTTCTGCTTGGCACAATCGAGGCCAAGTTATTTTGAGACTTGTAGAGGAGCGAGGCTTTACTGATGAGGCACGAGCGGCTTTACTAGTAAAAGAGCTTCACATTATCTGGGAAGGCCTAAATATCGGTGCAGACGACCAAAGCTTGTGGTATTATCATCGATTCTTGATCTCGCAAATCACCAACAGCGGGACTAAAAAGACAATAGCTCCAGCTTTAACTATCGCCGAGAGGGTTACCCATCTGAAACATGAAATAGCCGAGGTTGAGGATCTTCTTGGAGACTATGCTAACGTTGAATTGGTTTATGAGGCTCTATTGGAGTACACATTCGCGTTAGAACGTCTAGAGAAACGCAATGCGCGTGATGGTAGGGAGCAGGCCCGTTTGTTGACTTGGCTAGCTAAGTTGCAAGTTCTCGATCCTATGCGCGCAGGGAGGTGGAGGGATATGGAGAGGGGGATCAGAGGTATATAGATAAAAGATCCGCCCGCGTGCCAAATACTCTGAAAGCAAGAGCTAAGAGATTTCAGATTGAATGGCTTTTGCTGAGCATCAGAATGAGCAGTACGACTAAACTACTTGAGATTGCCATAGCTAAGCGTCATGTCTCAGCACCCGCCGCCTGCGCTACCAAAAAATGAGGAACCTCCGGAATTACAGGTCGTCATGCCTCTTTATGTGTCACATCATCTCAGAGTAATTATCGGGGCCACTGAGACATGGGGCACGATCAGAGCATTGACAAGAAAACTACACTATTAAAGAAAAAAACGCCTATAAAATAAGGGTTTTTTAAGTGCTTATCCTTACTATTTTAACTAGGTAACTTTTTAAGAAGCTTTAAAAATTATAAGATTATAAGAGAGATTAAAAGTTAAGTAACTAAGTAAGAGTAATTATATTATAATAATTAAAGCTTATTCTATTTTCTAGTTATATAAGATATAGGGGATATAGTCTTAAAGCCCCCGTTCCACGTAACGTTATTAATCGCGTTACAGGTAGGCGGGGTTTCCTAACTACCTTACAGGTAATATCGTGAAAAAAAGCATTAAAAAAATTAATAGCTAAAAAGGCACCTAAAAAGGTAGCTAATCAAGCTAAATAACACGCTATATTAGTTTATTCTAATTCCTTATTTTAGAGGGTTATTATTTAATATAATTTTGTTTTTATTAATCGAAATTTAGATAATAAGGGTAGCTATCAACTAGTTAGGCCACACAGCGAGCTTCTAATAAGCCTAGCACTAAAAACCAGAGTATTAGAAGTAGTGTAGTTTTGTAGTTTTATAGTTTTTGTAGTTTCTAATATAATAAATAATATTAAATCTAATAAAATACTTACAAGATTATAAGTTTTACGGATATATACTATGAATTTTATACTATAAGCTAACATAAGAAAGTGGGTCCTTATAAGCTCTTATAAGCCTAGAACTTTAAAAACTACAAAATGTAGTTTTTATAGTATAGTATAGATAGATGTGCCCCGCCGCTGTTGATAGCTATCATTGATAGCTGCCACGGATGATAGCTGCAGGCTGCTGCCGATAGATGCAGACTGCCGCCGTCAATAGCAGCCGCTATTGATAGCTCCCGTCATTAATAGCTAGCATCAATAGCCGCGAGCTGCTACCGATAGATGCAGACCGCCGCTATTGATAGCTGTCATTGATAGCTGCTACGGATGATAGCTGTTACCGTCAATAGCTGCTGCCGCTGATAGCTGCGAGCTGCTGCCGATAGATGCAGACCGCTGCTGTTGATAGCTATCGTCAATAGCTGCTACCGCTGATAGCTGCGGGCTGCTGCCGATAGATGCAGATCGCAGCCCTTGAAAGCTAGTTACCGTTGGATACTAGCTATCGTTGAAAGCTAGCAGCCGCCGTTGATAGCTGCTGCTGTTGATAGCTGCCGTCATTGATAGCTGTTACCGTTAATAGCTGTTACCGCTGATAATTGCGGGCTACTGTCAA